GGCCGCGCTGGGCAGAGCTCGCGGGGCGGAGCGGGGCGGGGCAGCGAGCCTGGCTGAGCTAACGGCAAGATGCTGAGTAAGCCGCAGCTCCGCGCAGCTCCGGGCTCCCCGCGCGACACCCCGCCACCCGCCTCCACCCCGTCCCCGCCGCTTCCACCTCTCCACCTCAGCCGACGCCGCCGCATCCGATCGACTAACTCTGCAATCTGCATGTTTCAGAAGCCCAACGGCGGCCCACGGCACCAAAATGGCGCCAATTTTGAAGAAGGGGCTTTGCTGCCTCAGCCTGCGGACGTGCGCGCTCATTCTCGGCGTAATAACCTTGGTAAGTGGCTGGCGCGCTGGCGGGCGTGGCGCAGGCGAGTGCTTTGGTCCTGCCCAGCCTCCTCACCGCCTTGTGCGTCCACTCTCGGCCCCTCCAGGTGCAGAACCTCATCTCGCTCTCCATGTTCGTGGTGAGCCTGGAGCACTGGCTGAGCGAGGACGACTACCACCACTTCAATCACACGGGCCTCGCGCTGGACCACGAGCACCCGGACAACGCGCCGCTGGGTCTGCCGCCAGGGCTACCGCCGGGGATCCACGATCTGCTGGCCAACGCCAGCCTGGGCTTGGCTCACCCCGGCCTTGGCGGCGACAAGGACGTGGACGTGCACATGTTCGCCCACCCGGACGAGGACTACTACGACGGCTTCGGTGACTCTGAGGCCGCGGAGACGCTGCTGGACAGAAATCCTCACCGTGAGTTTATTTTGGAATACAGGTCGGCCCGCAGACTCGTGCTTTAAATTTTTGTAGCAATGCTGTACCGCATGCGCGTGTGTGTGCGGGTTGCCATCCCGCTAGGCGCGATAGGCGTCGGCGTCATGGCTAGTGGCAGTAGTACAGCACGCCGTCCACCGGCTCGCGACCGGACGGGAAGGTCATGGCAGTGACATTATTAGGGGGTCTTTAGGTCAAGATTTCGGCTAATGTGTGTCATTCTGACGTCAATGTGAAATCGAAGACTTGCCTTAAGACTTCATCGCGTGCGCGGTTTGATGGTCCTGTCTGTCACACGGGGTGACCCCACACCCACGGGCCCCGGAATAGTTCGTAGTTCTACTTTACAGAGTGCAGCCGTGCGGCCGGGCCTGCGCACCGTCCACGGTGTACAGAGGTCTCGCTACCGTGTGTGTGTGTGTGTGTGTGTGTGTGTGTGTGTGTGTGTGTGTGTGTGTGTGTGTGCGAGTGTGTGCGCGTGTGCAAGACAGACAGAACTCGCGCACCAGTCAAGTGAACGCAAGTCGGTTAGCCCGCTATAGCCAGCTGTAGCCAGCTCAACCCGCGCGCTCTGCGGCTGGGCCCCTCCTCTCCATTCCTCTCCACTCCACGCTCGTCAACATCACGGCCACCACGGCCCTGCCCGCGCTGCGAGCCGCGCTGGGACCTGCTGGGACGGGCGTCCCGCCGAGGATGGCGTATCAAAGTACAGGCGTGGCGTGCCTGTCCAGGACCGCCCCGCCGGCCCCGCCCCACCTCGCCTTTTGGGCCGCTGCTACTCTATCAGCGTCACCACGCTGATACTCGCGGTCCCGCCCCGCCTCGGCCGGGCACGCGCCTCGGCCAGGCACGCGCGCCGACGCCCGGCGCAGCACAGGGGCAACGCCTGAGATAGTTACGCGTGCCGATTGAGCGCACCACTCTTAAGATATTGAGATATGATGCTGGAGCGGGTCTCACCCGCTGCCGAAGGGAGTCAGTCTAGTTATACACCTCAAAGACTGATATGGTGCATATCGGCCGTTTGACTCCATGCAGCCAACATAAAGGTGAGTGAGAACCACCTAGAATTAAGACACACCTGTGCAGTGCCAACATACGCGATAATTCAGTATGCAGTACAAGAAGTAGATCAGGAGTCAAAGAGCACATAGGGAGAAGTGGCGTCTCAGAAAAAGCAAGAAAAGGAGAGCAAGCAAAATGGGAACAGACAACTGCGGAGTGGCGCAGGCTCCACAGCAGATCCAGCCATACTTCCTGATATCACCACGATTTTACTCAGGAGATCCAAAAGAGGACTTTGATTTGTTCAGAAACCACATTAGAGAAGTAGCGAAGGCGTTCAGTACGAACGCACTGAAGATAGACTTACTGTCAGCACGCCTCACGGGGCCTGCCAAACACACGGCCAATAGAATTCGCAAATTAGACCCACAAGCGGACATAGAGGCCATTTTACAAGGTCTGGAAGATACGTTTGCAAGCAAAGGGTGCGCAGATATATGGTTGAAAAAGAAAGAAGAGGCCAAACAGAGAAAAAGGGAGGAAGATGAGGAATTAAGGGAATATTTAGAAGAA